TGGATAGTCCTTGCTACAACAGAGCTATGTTGGTCGTATAACTTTTGGGTTTTTTAATACATGGCAATTTCCATAAATTGGGGGACCCCATGTTAAACCCAGAAACACTTTTGACCTTACTATAACAGGAACCCACCTAAACTTGAGAAAAAAAACAACAACTTCTGGAAATTCCTGCGTTTTCGCCCCAAGTCGACAGCTCAAGTTGGGGCCTCGGCGGCTTTCTTTGCTCTTTCGGCATTCGCGGCTGCCGCCACTTCCTACATGCAGGTTCAGACATTTTGGTGTAGTTATGACTGGGGTAGCAAGTTCGTAGGTAGGGCAACTACAGTTATAGCTGGCTGTAAGAGCATCTAGGCTACTCGTAACCAGGAAAGAAAAACCTTTTAGTTTGGCAGGTATTGCAGAAGCCGGCATCATCGCTGACATCAATGTCGTGCACTCTTCATGAAGTTACACAACAACAAATCCACCAAACCTGATTCCAAAGCTTCTCTTCATTAAGGTATACAGTACTGCAAAAGCCTAAAGAATTACCCGTATAGAATTAAGTGCACTACTTATACCACCATGATATTTACCAAATCCATACCCTCATTTTGTAGGCCAGCTGAGTACGCACCAAAACAACCAAGTCCTGAAAGTCTACATAGCTACAAAAACCACTCAAACCTTAAATGGACAAGTTTCCACAATGACGAAAACATGTTATTTGCCATCACATATCCATATTACGTTATCTTACTCTAGCTTCCTTTACCCTAAGGGTCCAAGTACCTAATAATCATATACTTACCCAAAACCTGTACTAGAATTACTATTACCCAAATCCCAAGTACCTAATTATTGGGTACTTGGACCCTCTCGGTTACATTCTGTATGCCACCCAAACCAGTCAGTTTCCATTTTCTTTGGCATTTAAACCTCCATATTCTATTAGCAGTGGCTCAAACCCTTAGCCATAAACCCTAAACCGTTGCCTAAACCCACAGCCCAAGAGTTTAGCGGACCCTAAACCCTAAACCCTGAATCCTAAACCCTAACCTTAAAATTCAAGTTCCCCCAACAGCCACCCAGAAGTGCCTCCTCAGCAGCTTCCCTGGCTGCTTCTGCTGCCGCTGCTTCCTGTCGGACCCCGGAAGCTCCCTTAGGGCTTAGGGTTGAGGATTTAAGGTTAAGGCTTTAGGGTTCAGGGTTTAAGGCTTAGGATTTAGGGTTCAGGGCTTAAGGCTTAGGATTTAGGGTTTAGGATTGAGGGTTTGAGGTTTAGGGCTTAGGATTTAGGGTTTAGGATTTAGGGTTCAGGGTTAAAGGCTTAGGATTTAGGGTTGAGGATTTAGGGTTCAGGGTTTAAGGCTTAGGATTTAGGGTTAAGGGTTTAAGGCTTAGGATTTAGGGTTTAGGATTGAGGGTTAAGGATTTAGGGATCAGGGTTTAAGGCTTAGGATTGAGGGTTAAGGATTTTAGGGTTCAGGGTTTAGGGCTTAGGATTTAGGTTTAAGGATTTAGGGTTCAGGGTTTAGGGCTTAGGAGTTAGGTTTAAGGATTTAGGGTTCAGGGTTTAGGGCTTAGGAGGGTTAAGGATTTAGGGTTCAGGGTTTAAGGCTTAGGATTTAGGGTTTAGGATTGAGGGTTTGGGGTTTAGGATTGAGAGGTTTAGGGTTTAGAGTTCAGGAGTTGGAGTTTATCTATTCAGATGATTCCTGGGTTGTATGCTAGAAAGAACTGTATGGGGACTGTGGAAGAACAACTCAAGAGGTAGAAAGCGCCTCTGGAGTGAGCCATGCAGACTAAAGTGACTCGACATTGCTTTTCATCAGATGAAGGATACTAAGGATTCGGGGTCCTCTTCTCGGAGCCCTGACAGCAAGAACCATAACATTTGGTGGGGTAAAACGGGGAGGCATTTTTGAAAATGCCCATACCTCCTTCATGCCCAGTCTAACCCCAAGGATCCATGTAGGTATATGACATATACTTAGGGTATCTTAGGGTTAAGGGTTTAGGGTAACCCATATACTGCTTTTAAAGCCCAGGTATATAACATGTGGGAAGGCGGAGGTTGCAGCCTCGGCGGCTTTCTTTGCTGCTTCGGCTGCGGCTTCTTCCTGCGGATGCAGGGCATATTCTTTTTCTCTCTTCAATAATGAAGGGAGTAGAAGGGGAACCCCAAACAGGGAACCCCAAGAATAGAGTAGGAATGTAATAGGAACATAAGGACCTCGTAGGTATATTCTTATCATATTCCTACAGTATTCTAGGTGTTCCCTGCTTTGGGGTTCCCATTAAAGTCCCTTTAAATCATTGACCATGCCAGAGAAAGTTTTCAAAGTTTGTTACAAGAAGCAAACACACAAAGCCAAAAAGGGTAAGTATTGCGTTTGCTTGCCTGAAGCTCCAAAAGCCCCTGTAAAGCCGCGATTCTAAGCTGTATTGTGGGTTCTACTAACCCCCTTTTGCGCCACACGCGTGGCCAAGTTCCCCCCCGTGATTTATCTTGGTTGACCCAAAACGCGCCTGATCGATGGGGAACCTGGGGGGGAAACGGTGGGGGATGATATAAAGGCGCGTGGTTAGGTAATCCATAACCCTAAGGGTCCAAGTACCTAATAATCATAGACTTAACCGAAACCTAGACTATTCTTCGTCGAGGCATCCAGCCTCAGGGCGTTCAGATCCCTTTCAGACACGCCGCACCCCCATGGTGGGTGGCCTAATCCAGCCTGACCATCCCGCATGAAATTTCAGCCTCGCCGAGGGTTCGAGGCTTTGGCAGTACGCGGCAGGGGCGCATTTTCGTTCAAAACAAGGTGTTGAAGGTGCTGGAGCGCCCGAGGCCCCTGAGGCCCCTGGAGCCCCCTGGAGGGCCCTGGAGCCCCCTGGAACGGCCTGGAAGGGAAACCCCCACATGCATGGATGAAGCTGAGTAACCTTTACAGACCCTAATATATACTATGGCTTACAATATATACTATGTCTTATTTATGGGTTTCGCGTTTTGGGTACACTTAATTGGGATTTGCGGTGGATTATGACAAGAGCACTTTTGCGAGATACGAGGAGTTTTAGCTACCGTTCTGTGGCTAGACCCCAATATACATTTAGACTATTGG